GACCCAAGAGCTCGACCCAGTTTCTACCAGATGATAGAAAAACTGGAGATCATCATGCAGAAGGATGCACCATATTTGGATGTGAACAAGCATAATGAAGACCATCCATACTATAACGTGCCTCCACATCTGGAGTAACTACTAATGAAGAACGCTACGTAGGGCCGGCGGTTTCTAATTATCCTGAACATTTTATTAACTCGTCAGCGGAGATTCCCTTTTTAAAATGGCCCCCTAATTAAACTTAACCGTACAGTATATAGCGAAATTAAGCAAGTTATGAGCTAAGAGTTTGTGTAACAACAAAAAAATTCAACGTTTACAGTTCTGATCTTATGGCAATGATTAAATATCATCAAGAGAGGATGAAGCCTTTTTATCCTCTCTAAATATCATGTATGCATTTACGTTCTAGCTGCTTACGTGTTCAAAATGTGATATAATATAGGACAAAGAGAAATCCAACATAGAAAACTCCCTCGGAAAAATTGCCAATCACCACTTGAGAGGGGGATGAATAGGGGAATGCAAATCCGCTGATCCGTTACGATTTATTAACCAAATCCGTCCTTTCATTTTTACCCTAAATCCCTCGGAAAAATTGCCAATCTCCACATGAGAGGGGGATGAATAGGGGTATGCAAATCCGCCCATCCGTTATGATTTATTAACCAAATCCGTCCTTCCATTTTCACCCTGAATCCGAAATCTGAAATCCGGGCAAAAACATTTTAATTACACGCAAAGCCCAAAATCCGGGCCCAAAAAATAAATGATGCTGCAATTGATGCTGCAATTGCAGGATCCGGAAATCCGTTAAAATCTCGCTTTGATCCGAAATCTGGGCAAAAATATTTTCAAACTCCGCCGATCCGTTAGCCTATTCACCCCCCTCACATCGAACGCACAACCCTCCGAGTTCTAGATCGGACGCTCTAGGCACTGGGCTCCTGGCGGTGTACGGTGTTACGCGCTTGCAATGCAGGTCTATTTTGTGGGCCGGCAAACGCTGTTTATTTATGTCCATATTACCGTGGACAACTGACGAAAATTGGAGAGAATAGTAACAGCAACACTTGAGGTTTCCCTTGGAGGAGACGGTAGGGCAAAAGAAGGAGGCGGGGATGGGGAGGGGAGAAGTTTTCTCTTCTCACCTCCGCCCCTTCCCTACCACAACTCTCCTCTCGACTTCTTTTGAAATTATTCGCGCACCCGAAGAAAACGTCTGCAATACAGGCTATAGTTTGAGACAGGTTACTTGGTTATTGACAGGTTATTTGGATAGGTTTATGAGCTGCCTGCCAGCAGAAACTCCATTGCCACCACTAATAGATCAGTTGGAAAGACACCAGAAGGAACTTCATTATCCATCACATTTATTGAATGTAGGTAACTCTCTCGGGCAGGAAACCCTAGGGACTATCCGTAACGTTCCGTACCCTGGGAGGATCCTTACATTAGGGCCACAACAATTGAGCTAGGTATTATCTCGTCATTCCTGCGTGGTAGGCGTTCGAAAGCTAGAGAAGTCTCGCGGAAGTTTGACAACGCGATGAGTGCGCGCCCTTCCCTTCAAACTTCTGCCGACTTTTCGAAGGTCTCAAAGATGTAGCCCGTGGGGTCTACTTTGATAACCTGTGAAAACAGCCAACATTTCGCGATGCCACCAAGTCCCAGCGAAATACCGTCCGAGGAACGCCTGCAGAAATTTTATACTGATGACGTGTCATTAGTCAGACCTGGGTAGTGCTTCTGATTGGTTGAAGCAAATTTCCCTCGCAGAACGACCAATCAGAAGCACTACCCAGATCTGAGTAGTGACACGTCATCAATATGGAATTTCTCGTGTTTGTTCCTCAGATGTGATTTGGCGGAGAAACAAGCCATGGTGTCGCGAAATATGGGCTATTTTCCCGGGCTACCATTCTGATAAGAGTTCCCAATAAAGACTCGGCTTTGGCAGCTATGTTTCGCGGGAACCATTCTACGCTACAGAAGATTCTAATTTGGTATCTTCTTTTCCCTTTACCAGGGAGGGTTTCTTTCGTTTGAAGTCAATCCGGATTTTTATTAGCCCGGGTAGCTGTTGGTTCCTTTCCAAAGTGCATGTGCGATGGGATGGCATGTTGTCTCTGTCGCGCTTGTACCCAAAGAAACAACTGCCACAAAGACATGTGCACTATTGGATTTTCCCTTAAAAGACAAATTCAAAATCAGATTTCCTTTCCAAAAGTTTTCCTTAAAACTCCACTCCAAAAAGCCAAAAGCCACAGGAAAAATATTAATTTTTCAGTAGTTTCCACGTGCCACATAGTTTAAACGATTCTAAGAATTTGTCATTTCATGCTATGTGATGCTAAGGGGTGAAAAAAAAAATTAAAATAAATAAAGTAAGCTAACAGTTGATGAATTGTATTTTCATAAACTGATTGCAACCGTCCCCGAGTTTGGCGGGGATAAAACAAAAGAAATGTATTAATTATTCATTACTGAGCCTTAAGATGATTTCTTTTGGTTCTATTCCCCCAACTGAATAACAAATTCCGTGAAATTCAGTAATAGCGGGGGGTAAGCTTGACCTGGCTGCTGCAACTGAATTTATTTTCCAACGCAGACGTTCTTAGGGGTTCGTCACGCGTTCCTGCCCCACTATTTGAGAACAATGGGAAAGGAAGCAGACGTTAGTGGGGCAGGAAAGCGTGACGAACCCCTAAGAACGTCCGCGTGGGAGGCTGCTGAATTTAACAGTCCATTACTTAAAGTTTTCATACGAAGTCTCAATGGGCTATTGCATTTGATATCTGTATCCCTCTCGGTTGAGGACCTACCTTTTCTGCTTACCCCTTTTAATCTTAAAAGATTGAATAAAATTGCATTCAGCTCTGAAAACTTCCTTCCTTCAAATACGGGTTCACCCTTGAAGAATATGGGTCCTACCCCTGAAGAATATGGGTCTCCCCGTGAGGAATATGGGTATACCCCTGCAGGGCCCATTTGTTCGAAGGCCGATTAGCGCTTAACTCGGGGTTAAATTTAACCCGTGTTTCTTTTTCTTTTGTTCAAAAGCATTTTCTCGGATATTTTCTCTGTTATTTTTAGAGCTTCCAATCATCAACTTGCAGACAAAAAGAATTAAGACTGAAATGCTTTTTAAGCTTTCAAATCTGAATTCAAATCTCGCACTAACCCTGAGTTATCTTAACCCAGCTTTGAACAACTCGGTCCTGTAGAATATGGGTCTACCCGTGAGGAATATGGGTATACCCCTGTAGAATATGGGTCTACCCGTTGAGAATATGGGTATACATGTACCCCTGAAGAATATCGTAAAAATTAAAGCTCCAGCCCCAAAGAATTCCATATATGTTTTCTGCTCTACCCCTAAAGAAATCCTCAATTTTAATAATTCACCCCTCAAGAATTCCATGGTTCCTCAACCGGGGGTGGGGGGGGAGGGGAGAGCTGGTACGGATATTAAATGCAATAGCCCCATGCGGTTGGTGGGGGCAACACAACATGACAGCGGCTCACAAAACAATGTTTAGTTCATGCATGGCTCAGAGGCCCACAGTCTAGGACAAAATAGATGGAAAATTTGTACCCCTCTCCCTCCCCCCCCCCCCCCCAA